CGGCGGAGGGAAAGGGGCCATGAGGCAACAGCCCAGCCCTGCCTCCCCCGAGACAGACGCTGTCTGGTTGTAGCGGAAGGGAGCAAACACGGCGCAGAGGGCACACACCGCGCTCCCTCCAGGGCCCTGGGCACCCAGCCTGCTCTGGGTGCCCGCTGCCACCACCTGTCCCAGCAGGGACATGGAGGCAGCAGTGAGGCCCCACCAGTGACCGCAGGCTCTCAGGCTGAACCCCGTGGCACTGCGCAGCGCGGCACGGCACGGCACCGGGCCCTGCTGCCATCTAGTGGCTCTGGGCAGGGGGCCCCCATGACGCCCCCAGAGCTGACACCGACCATGGAAAAGGACAGGTCTCGTGTCACCGCTCCCTGAACCCCGGGCACAAACCCCTGTCCCACCATGGGCAGCCTCGCAGGCCTGGCTGCTGCCAGGAAGGTCCCTGCGGGCAGCACGGAGCAGGGACTTGTCTCCGGAGCTGGTGTGGAGAGCTCGGCCGGGACATGGGTGCCGTTTACCTTAATCACTCCAGGGCCTTCACGAGGGCTTCGTTAGCTTCGACTTTAATCTGAGCTTCTGCTTTAGCTGCTTCATCGGGCGCCGCAGCCACCTCCGAAACAGCCTTCTCCAGGTTTGATTTCGCAGTCTGAGCACGGGAGCACGAGGAACGTGTCACCCAGAGTCCACCACAGGACAGAGGACTTGTCCTACAGCCCCGAGTCACCCCTCTCCTCCCCTCCCTTCTTCACCGTTGCTGGCCCCGCATGCCCGGCTCCATCACATGCCCAGCTGCACCGGCAGCAGACGCCTGCTGGGGAAAAGCTGTTCCCAAGGCTAAGAAAGGTGGGGAGGGGCAAGGTCAGCATCTGTCGGAGGGGAGGGCATCAGCCTGGAGAAGGGTTAACGGCTGTGTGGCTTCCCCTCCCCACAGCTGGAGGAGCCCCGAGCCTTGGATCCTGATCCGTGGGTGATGGGGAAGCTCGGGGTGACGGCACAGCCCCTGGTCTGGGTGTATTTTCCGCAGCCACAGGAAGGTCCTGAGACAACGACCCCACACGAGGGAACATGCCGGGTTTGGCTAAAGCGTGACGGAGACGCAGGGAGCAAATTCCCCTCTAGGAGGGACCCGGCCTGCCAGGGGCTGCCCAAGGGACGCAGAGCGTGGCCTGGCACGCGGGCACCAGGGTACTCACACAGCCCGCGCAGGCCCATCGCCCCCGCCTCCCCCGCCAGCACCTGCACGGTGGAGTCTGCATGGACCGTGACGGAGCCGCTGCTCACTGCAAAGGCAAAGGCACAGCAGCAGGGCTGAGCTGGGCAGTGCGGGCAGGGGAGTGCGGGCACGGATGCCACATGGGCCTCCTTTGGGGGCTGACACCGGGACAGCGCTGGCATGCTGATCCCTGGAACCTCCACGATCCCTCTGCTGACACAAAACCCTGACGCTCTCCCATAGCACTTCCCGAGCCGCGCCGGGACTCGCTCCGTGCCAACGGGGAAGCTTGAGCTGGGGATGCTCCCAGAGCAGCACCGAGAACACCAACCCCGGATCACAGCCCCATGCTGAGCCCCGTCTCCCAGGGCGATCCCCTGGCACCGCAGGGCAGCCTCTGGCAGCCCCCGGCAGGCTGGG